CACCCTGAAGGGGCTGTAGTCACTCTGAAAACGGCCCTCAGCCCCTCATCCAGGCTGGCCAGGCACCCCAGCAAGATCCCCCTCCCTGAAGGGGGTGTGGCCAGCCTGAAAACGGCCCTCAGCCCCTCATCCAGACTAGCCAGGCACCCCAGCAGGACCCCCCACTCTGAAGGGGCTGTGGCCAACCTGAAAACGACCCTCAGCCCCTCACCCAGGCTGGCCAGGCACCCCAGCAGGGACCCCCACACTGTAGGGGTGTGGCCAGTCTGAAAACGGCCCTCAGCTCCTCACCCAGGCTGGCCAGGCACCCCAGCGGGACCCCCACCTGATCCGGGACACCCTTCAGGCCAAACCAGCTGGCCCCACCCATGCACCAGGCCTCTATCCTATATAATAAATGGGTAATATGCAAATTTACCCTGACAGCAGAAAGACTGGGAATGACTGGTCACTATGACACACACTGACCACCAGGGGGCAGACGCTCAATGCAGGAGCTGCCCCCTGGTGGTCAGTGCACTCCCACAGGGGGAGCTCTGCTCAGCCACAAGCCAGGCTGACGGCTGCCAGTACAGCGGTGGTGGTGGGAGCCTCTCCCGCCTCCTCAGCAGCGCTAAGGATGTCCAACTGCAGCTTAGGCCTGCTTCCCACTGGCAAGTGGACATCCCCGAGGGCTGCCGGGCTGCCAGAGGGATGTCTGACTGCCAGCTTAGGCCGAGTCCCCTGGGGAGCGGGCCTAAGCCAGCAGGTGGTCATCCCCCAAGGGGTCCCAGACTGCAAGAGGGCACAGGCTGGGCTGAGGACCCCGCCGAGTGCACAAATTTTTGTGCACCAGGCCTCTAGTTTTCTTTCTTTTTTTTTTTTTTTTAAATATATATTTTATTGATTTTTTACAGAGAGGAAGGGAGAGGGATAGAGAGTTAGAAACATCGATGAGAGAGAAACATCGATCAGCTGCCTCCTGCACACTCCCCACTGGGGATGTGCCCACAACCAAGGTACATGCCCTTGACCGGAATCGAACCCGGGACCCCTCAGTCCGCAGGCCGACGCTCTATCCACTGAGCCAAACCGGTTTGGCCTCTAGTTTTCTTATATTTAAATTAGAGTTGCGTGAATTCAAATTTCTCTAATTACTTTTTAGAAATAGCTCTTAATCATCTGAAGTATACATTAATGTTCTAGAGAGAAACTGTCTTCCCTACCTGTTTTCTAATGTGACCTTTTTTGACTTCTCACTTAGAATCTGCTACTTTGTAATTAAATTACTTTGACCTATTTATCTGTCTTAGGCTCCTAATATAAAACATAATAAAGCTATTTTAATTTACCCTTGCTTTAACTGCTTAATAATTAAGTTAACATTTATTACAATGCATTAGTCCTCACATGCTATGTCATATACCTTCAAAGAAATGGGGAGAGAGACTAGTTTGAATGTTATTTTTTTAAATAAATATATTTCAGCACAAGAATATAGAACAAATGTAACTGTTGACTTTCTTCCTAATAGAGTAGAACAGGTACTACTGACTTGTTTTCATTGATAAGTCTTTCATTTATGTTTTAAAAAGTAATGTTTTCTAAAAATCTGTAAAAATAGTTTTTTAAGTAGAACCTCAATCCTGTTTATTCTCCTATTTCTTTCACAGTAATGCTATAAAGATAAATATCATATCTCAAGTAGGTTAAACTATCTCAAATTTGCTAAGTGAAATTTTACAAATTTTGGCTCATAAGTTGGGATTACATCATGAAAAGCTACATTCATTTTGTTTAAGTGTAGGTTATTGAAACCTGACTTGTTAAAGAGAAATGTGGATAGAAGCTCCAATAGAAAAGCAAAAGAAGGGGAGCAAGCGAGAAAAGGGATGTATCGCTATAACCTACTTGAGCCATTAATTATGCAACCATCTCGTTTAGGCTCAAGCACACATAGTAGTAGTTACTTTCCTGCATTCCTTTCTCTTAAATAACCTAGAATTAGACAAACTTCAGCCAGTTTGGCTCTCATATTTGTGACCAGCATGATGATAAACTGAAAAATACATAACTAGATGAAAAATCAATATGGAACTCAGTGAGAAAATAATACATGATAAAGTGGAAAATGTGTACCTAGTACACACTATTCATATAATAAAATAACCCTCAGAAGATCTCTAGATGAAACTATCAAGGCCAACTTTGGAAACATTCTAAATCCTTCTACTTTACTCTATATTTAAAGCAGTAATTATCAGACTTCAATCAGCAAAGAGTCCACAGGTTTGGGACCCCATCCCAGAGATCATTATTAATGATGTCTGGGGAGGAGCCTGTGAATCCACACTTATTAATAAGCAGACCTGGTAATTCATCTTTGAAGAACACTAAGTAAAGTGGACATGGGTTTGAATTCCAAGTTGAATAATGACCATTCTCATTGAGGGCTTAAAAGATCCTAAAGTGGAGGGAAGAAATTGGGAGTATTTGTATAAATTCATAGTCAAATCCTTATTTTTAAAGAAAAATCTAAATATGGTATGCATTCTTACATTTTAGTAGTGAGCTAAATGTTTGGGATATGTGCTGTAAGTAAGAAAATGTCTTCTGTTGTTTAGGAATTTGGAAGCTCCAGAGTACCCAGTGTATTCTGTAAAGGGCCATAAAGAAATTATAAATACTATAGATGGTGTAGGTGGACTAGGAATTGGGGAAGGAGCACCTGAAATTGTGACTGGCAGCCGAGATGGTAAGTCAAAGTATTTTATGTACAGTGTTTTAATTTTTTTAAGATAAATCTCTGTACAACAGTATATCCTCTCTGTGTGGAAATCCTCAGTAACCCTGACCCACTAAATCTAACAGTCTGCTTTTTTAATAGGCAGGTTTGATGGCATATCCCTAAATTGTTTCATTCTTGAGTATTTTGAGATGGAGGAAAAGCACTTCACTATTTTAGTTTTGAGCAAGTTCAACTACTAACAACCATAGTTTCATATGAACCTTGAAGGATTTCAGATTTCTTTATTGGTTTTTGAGGCAGCTGACTATAATGTGGGTGGCAGCTTTTCCTTTTTTAAAAAGCAGAATCAGTACTTGTGAAAATTGTCACGTTGACAGCTGTTGAACCCTGAAGTTCTGTGATCCTTCCGCTGAGCATTGTAGAAAGCACCAAGGACACCACGTGCTTTTCTGCCTGCGGTGACCAAAAATGGACAGGTCTTAAAAGAAAAGAGAGGTGCATTTTCTGATGGTTACTCAAGAGCGGCTCTGTTTTTGAAATGAAATATTCTTTCCCACCCTAGAAACAATACAGAATATAGAAGGAAAAACAGCATTCAGTCCACCATACCAGCATAACTGTTAAGTGTGCTTTTCTTTCCAGTCTTATATACAACAAAGAATAGCTATCAGTGTGTGTATGGTTTTGTATCTTACTTTTTCCATTTAATGTTTTGTCATATGTAAATGTTGCTGTTTTCATACTTACATGTTAATGACTACGTCACATTCCATCCTATGGAGGTGTCACAATGTTCTAACCTGTTAATAAGCATTCAATTTTTTGTTTACCTCAAATTTTTTGTTTATTGTTTTGGGAGAGTGACTTAAAAATAATAAATAGGTATCATTATGTATATAACTCTTGGAATAAGTGTGTGTTGCGGCTTTTAAAATTTACTGTCAATTTTTCCAAATTATCTTTTTACCTTATCAGCTACAATGGAAGAGATAGATTTCCAGTCTACCCTACCAGCATTGATTTTCCTAGTTTTTTAGATAAAAATGGTACACCATTCCAACTTTGTTAATTTCTTTCTATATTTGTTTACCAGTTAATTTTGCTTTGTGAATTATCTGTTTATGTTCTTAGCTCATTTAATTATTACAAACGTAATATAACTTTTATCAGTTTGTATGAAGCCAGTGGAGTGATACCTCTTGTCATATTTGCAGGAATTTTTTTCTCCTTAAGGCATCTTCTTAATAACCTATTTTATTTTATTCTTGGAGATAAATCAAGTGGAATAGTGCTCCCTTTTCTACATTTATTATCCCTTTTAAGGATTTCTTTTTTTTATGCTTTTCCTATGCTCTCTCAGGTACTTGCCTTTTAGCCATTTTATTACATGCATTTGTATTTCTCATAAGCAATGACATCATTTACTTAGCAGTCCTATAATTTGCATCTAAAATGAGGAAGTTGTAATTATATTGAGCAGTATTTATTTGTTAATTTTAAAAAATAATTCTTGCCCTAACTGGTGTGGCTCAGTGGATAGAGCGTCAGCCTGTGGACTCAAGGGTCCCGGGTTTGATTCCGGTCAAGGGCATGTACCTTGGTTGTGAGCACATCCCCAGTACGGGGGTGTGTAGGAGGCAGCTGATCGATGTTTCTCTCTTCTCTCTCATCGATGTTCTAACTCTCTATCCTCTCCTCTCTCTGTAAAAATCAATAAAATATATTTTTTTAAATAATATACTTATTGTTGGAAGTATTACATATGTCTCCTTTCCCCCCATTGACCTCCTCAGCCACCCCTGCCCTGTTAATTTTATTTAATATTTCCCTGTTCTCTATTGCTACAGGGAAATTAAACTTAATTATATATGAAATAGTATTCTAAAACCCAATGAAAGAAATCGTAGCTGTAAAAATTAGTTTATTCCTCTGTATAAAGAATAATGCCAATGATTATATGAGTAGTAAGGAAATAATTTAAATGGCACTGGTATTATCTAAGTAACTAATACATTAGTTTTAGGCTGCACTGGTATTATCTAAGTAACTAATAGATTAGTTTTAGGCTTAAGCAAAGAAAAGGAAGTGTGGTTTGAATTGCATAACATCTGTGTTTGCCTTGTCAGTCATACCTTGTTGATAACTTAGGAACAGTTGTTGGCTTTTCTGTATATCTGTTTGGAAATTTAAGTCAGACATATGGGTTATATCTCTGATATTAAGTACAACTTACCCACTTCAAAGTTAGAAAAATGTGAATACTTTTTCAGATGTTAGAACATCTGTAATATTACCATGTATACAGGAAGCCATAGGAAGAGAATGCAGAAAAGAAATGTCATTATTTGCTGTTGAATTTTGCCGGTGCACTTTTATGTATGGCAGGAACTGTGAAGGTGTGGGACCCAAGGCAGAAAGACGATCCTGTTGCTAATATGGAACCTGTACAAGGAGAAAACAAGAGAGACTGTTGGACTGTGGCGTTTGGTGAGTTATTGAAGAACTCTTGGATTTGAAGTATCCAATGGTAAAAGCTTCAAGGAAGTCCTCCTGACGGTCTATTTATAGTCTGTTTGTGGATTTTTCTGGCAGTTTATTGAGGCAAATAGACGTGGTGGTTAACGTCATCCTCTGAGGCCTGGGTTTGAAGTCTCACGGTCTACTTACTGACTGTGTGACTTATTGGCAAGTTATGAAGCATCTCTGTTTCTTGGTTGCTTCATTTGTAGATGGAAGTAATAATAGAATTTACTTAATAGTGTTGTTATGAGGATTCAAAAAGTTAATACATGTATAGTGCTTAGAATTGTGCTTAGATTATTAAGTGCTCAAAAATAATTTGCTATTACTATGTACTTGTGTTTAACTAGATGATATTGACCCAGTTAGAACCAAATGCCAGTAATGGAGCTAAGTAGAGCCTCAAAGGCAAATGGTAGCTTTACAGATCTTACATTATACTCTCTATAGAGTATGTTTATTTTCTAGGAAGTAGTTATATCATTACAAAATTATTTCTTATAAATCTGACAACTGTGTTTCTCTACTAATATATTTAAAATGAATGCTGGTTTTGTAGGACTAATTGATGTTTACCCTTGTATCTCTTGCTGAGCATCAAAATTAAAATAATTTTTGCTAGTAAGAGGTATAGATCATATTTAGTTTTAAATCTCTATTTTCTTTCCCCTTTTTCTTAGTATAATCCTGTGTAGATAATAGACATTAAAAGTAGGATTTAACAATATATGTGATTTGTTCAACTTTTTATGTTATTTTAAAATTGCACTGTTATTTAATTAGAGGAAAGTTTTAGATTTCCACTATAAAAAAATAAATTATTGTATGGGAATGACTATGTGTGTATATTTTATGAGCAATTATATAAACTTAAGACATGCTTGGGGAGAAATTTCAGGGTTAGTATTTGGAATCACCATCTAAAACTTGGTATAATAATTAAAAAGTAATTACCTTTGGGTTCATTAAAGCCTTTCATCATTGATCTTAGGAACATAAGTAGAATTTTAAATATAGGTGCTTAAAAAATATATAGGTGCTTAAGTTTAAAAAGAAAATCCATTGATTGGACAAATTTTTATGAATGCCAAGTAGGTGCAAAGCGGTGGGCATATAAAGGTTAAACAGATGTGTTATCTGCATCAAGATGCTTATAGTTTAGTAAAGAGGACATGATATCTACATTAATTATAGAGCAGCCCTAGCTGGTTTGGCTCAGTGGATAGAGCATTGGTCTGCGGACTAAAGGGTCTCAGATTTGATTCTGGTCAAGGGCACATGCCTGGGTTGTGGGCTTGATCCCCAGTAGGGGGTGTGCAGGAGGCAGCTGATCAATGATTCTCTCATTGATGTTTCTATCTCTCTCTCCCCTCTCCCTTTCTCTCTGCAATCAATAAAAAAATATTTTTAAAAATTATAGTACAAGGTAGGAGTGATTAAAGGTCATGAAAGACATGGACAAATGCAGAAGGAGTCCCCAGGGAAAGATGACCAGGGTGAGGGGGCATTTTTGACCAAAAGGATATATAGAATTTTTTTTAAAAATATATTTCTTTATTGATTTCAGAGAGGAAGGGAGAAGGAGAGAGAGACAGAAACATCAATGACGAGAGAGAATCATTGATCGGCTGCCTTCTGCACACTCCCTCCCCACTGAGGAACGAGCCCGCAACCCAGGCATGTGCCCCTGGCCGGGAATCAAACCTGGGACCCTTCAGTCCGCAAGGCCGACGCCCTATCCACTGACCAAGCCGCCAGGGCGATATATAGAATTTGAACCCCTGAAATTGGAAGGAAATTTCAGGTACAAGGAATAGCTTGGAAAGTGTCCAAGTATGTAGAGGAAATACTGTAGTGGTAGAAATTGCTTTAAAGATGGCTCAGGCCCACAGCCAGAGGTGTTTAGATGGTCTTAGAAGCCAATAATAGTCTCCCATATCCCTTCAGTATAAAATGAGCTTTAAAGTAACTATATCAAATACCAAATTAATAATCTGATGTCCTGCCAGGATCGGTAACATGAGATTCTACCCAATGTGATTTTGTAAAATCTGATTCAGTACAAATTATATGCATCGTTTCATAAAATTATTTTACCAGCCTTCAGATTAGCATTTATGAAGATCTGAAATGTTGTGTCTTGATCTGTAGGTAATGCTTATAATCAAGAGGAGCGTGTTGTTTGTGCTGGCTATGACAACGGGGACATCAAACTGTTTGATCTCAGAAGTATGTCATTGCGGTGGGAGACAAACATTAAAAACGGGGTAATGTACATTTGGATTCTTTTAATTTTATGTATGTATGTATGTATGTATGTATGTATGTATGTATGTTAATCCTCACCTGAGGATATTTTTTCATTGATTTTTAGAGAGAGTGGAAGGGAGAGGGAGAGACAGGGAGAAATACTGATGTGAGAGAGACACATCGATCGATTGCCTCCTGCATGTACCCTGACCAGGGCCAGGGAACCTTCAACCAAGGTATGAGCACTTGACCAGAATTGAACCTAGGACGCTTCAGTTCACAGGCCGATGCTCCATCCACTCAGCCAAACCAACTAGGGCCATCTGGATTATTTTTAATTTCTCTGAGCATGTTTTCACCTACCTCTGAACTACTACAAAAGGAAGGCGATTTTAATAACTCATCTTAGTACAACCACTCTACTAGTGGTTCTTAACCTTTTGGGGCTCTGAGCCCTTTGGGAATCTGATGACAATATGGACCCTCTCTTGGAAAGTGAACACACACCCAGATGTGGTATAGCAGAGCTGGTGGGTCACCAGCCCCTGTGGTAGACTGTGGACACCTGTGCGCTGCGCATTGTCATATCAAAATGAGCACGCAAGAGGCTTTTTTCTGCTAATAGGAAGCCTGAAAATAGCAATAGCCTTTCAGATTTTAGGTTCCTGAGTTGTATGCCTCTCAGGAGGAATGGGGCTCCTTCCTGTTTCCTAACGTCAGCCTTGACTTAACTGTGTACAATAATTGGGGAACTCAAGGTGGTTTGATCTTATTAACCAAGAAGAATTTTTTGTTATGGTTTAAAAGTTTTTAATGTATTGATTCAGTTTAAATGCTTTCACATGAGCTAATTATTTTAAAGTTGTTTTCCTTAGCTTAAAAGAATCTACTGAATAATATTCATTAGACCATCAATAATAAATATTCTGTATTTTCAGGTATGTAGCCTGGAGTTTGACAGAAAAGATATAAGTATGAATAAGTTAGTAGCTACATCTCTGGAAGGGAAGTTTCATGTTTTTGACATGAGAACACAGCATCCAACCAAAGGTTTTGCTTCTGTTTCAGAAAAGGTAAATCTGAGGGGAATGCCTTTCTATGAAGAGGAATATTCTTAGCTTGTTTTAGACTAATAAATAGACTTAGTCACTAAGGTGCCTTCCAGGTCTTTATGGGAAGGGAGCTATTTTTAATATATTCTTGTGGGATCTTGACAAGGTTTTCTCGGCAAAGAGTACTTTCAGAAAGCTTACCAGTTTTAGACTTCTTGATTATAATAAAGGCCTCAGTTGGCTAGGAATCTTATTTTGTAGTTAAGGAGCAATCATAGAAAAAGTAGCTGATGACAAGTATGTGATAAACAAAACCTAGCCTTGCATTTCCTAATAAATATATAATATTTGTATTTATACCTAATTATATACTCTTAGGTGTATACCAATATACACCTTAGTATAATACTAATTATATACTTTTCAAAATATATCAACATATACATATTGTCATTTAACCACATTTTATTTTACATTCCAGTTTGTTATATTAAATAAAATTATTTAAAGTGTTTATCACTGATTGATACATAGTAGGTGCTCAAAAATGTATTTATTCTTTTATTCACACTTATATACATACATACTTTGCCTTGTTTTGAATAGTAATTGACAAAGCTTAAAAAGAAATGTGGTATTACAGTGTTAGAAAAATAGATGAAGAAAGCGGGGCAAAGGGAAAATACTTGTTAAAATGGTGTCAGAAGTAAGGGGATTGCATAAAATTCATGCTGAAACGTCCTCTCATTTGCAAGAGAGGGGTGAGAAATGTGAGTCTGAGCTTCCCCCGTTTTAAAAATAAAGGTCGGTTACAGATTTATAGTTTCCATGAGATTAAAATATGTAAGTTGTTCAGGAAATAAAAATTCACTCCTTTTCTCACTCTACCATGGATTCAGTAGTACTTCCCAAATGTTCCTATTTTGTCTTATTATTACATGCAATTAATATTGCATGTAAATTACTGCCACTGCCTGATGAACTAAATTCTTAACAAGATAAATATATTTTGTAATATTGTTTTTACTGTTGTTTCAGAGTATATTAAGTATCTATCAGCATAAAGCACTTTACTAAGTTGTTTTATATACAACTGCAACATGTTTCTTATTATCTATAAATTATAGTGTTATCTTCAAAATTTTTTTCTTTTTTTTTTTTTCTCTGCCTCCTGCACACCCCCTACTGGGGATGTGCCCGCAACCAAGGTAAATGCCCTTGACCGGAATCGAACCTGGGACCTTTCAGTCCGCAAGCCAATGCTCTATCCACTGAGCCAAACCGGTTTCGGCTTTTTTCTTTTTTTTTTAAACATATTTTTATTGATTTCAGAGAGGAAGGGAGAGGGAGAGAGAGATAGAAACATCAATGATGAAAGAGAATCATTGATCAGTTGCCTCCTGCACACCCCACACTGGGGATCGAGCCTGCAACCCGGGCAAGTGTCCTTGGCCGGAATCGAACCTGGGACCCTTCAGTCCGCAGGCTGACACTCTATCCACCGAGCAACCGGCTATGGCAATAAAGTTTATTTTTTAAAAGTTCAATTTATCTTTATTTTTCCCTTAGGAAGAAGTATGTGGTTTGTATTTTACTTTTTTTGTTTGTTTTTTTGTTTGCTCTTCAGAGTGAGCTAGAGACATAAATGTATGAAATCTATTTGCATAGTTAATATGGTACTATAAACTTAGACTTTTAATTTGATAACATATTTTTTTTTAAATCCAGTTCAACTTTGTTTCATAAAACAATAAAGAAAAATTAAGTTTTTCCTGATTTCTGATGGTTTCTTCTAAATCTTTGGAGCCATTATAAAGAGAAGGACCAGAAAATAATTACTTTTATAGCAGTTGAAAAGATAGAAGGAAAATTTCCTTATTTGCAGGGTTTCTCTTCTAGGGCAGTCTTTGTCATACAAACTTATTAACAGGTTGTGTGCTTCTCCTGCTGTTTAGGCTCATAAATCTACCGTGTGGCAAGTCCGACACCTGCCCCAGAACCGAGAGCTGTTCCTGACAGCGGGAGGCGCCGGCGGCCTCCACCTCTGGAAGTAGTAAGTCTCTGCTGTGCACCCGGCTCCTTTGTGGGTCCTGGTGGGCATGAACTAGGAATAGAGTGAACTTTTCCCCCATATTTTCCTCCTCTGACTTAGTTCATTTTGCTATGATTTTAAATTTTATTGTATTATGTAAGTATTATTTTCTAAGCATTTTTAAAACAAATTTACTTCTTTTATACATACTAAATAGTAACCTTTGACTCATTTAATATGTTTGTTATTTAGTTGTCTTCCATATATTGTAGTGTGGTCAGGGGCAGGAACAATTCTTTTTATAGATTTGGAATCAGGGATTTTTGCTGGGTTTTTTTGTTGTTGTTTGTTTGTTTGTTTTTAAGGAAAACTTTCACCAAAGGCTCTTGTGAAATATTATAATCAGGTTGTTAGAACACTACCTCTAGAAGATAGGAAAAGGGTTGAAATTGTTAGTTTTAGATCCTAGTAATTCAGTTGCCCAAGTTCAGATAACATCCTTGTGATAGAACCAGAACAGAGCCCGAGGGCCCTGATTGGTCTCCAGGAAAAGCCTTGTCATTGAGTTTGCTTTCTGCATACCACAGGCAGGGTGAGTGACGGAGAGCTTACCATGCGCTGCGCTCTGAATCCCAAAGGCCTGAAGAGGGCAGTTACTAGTAGCTGCTCCTTTAAAAGGCCTGATAAAAACTGCATTAATGGTTATCTCTTTCTGTAAACATCACCCAAGGGGGGAAAAAAAAAGAAAGAAACACAAGCTATAAATGAAAGATAATGTTTGAAAAAAAGAAATAAAAGAAAAATATCATCTTTAATGCTTCTGGGACTTTCACATTTACAAAATACTTTTTTTAAAAAAAAATATGTTTTTATTGATTTTAGAGAGAGAGGAAGGGAGAAGGATAGAGAGATAGAAACCGATGAGAGAGACATTGATCGGCCCCTCCCGCATGCCCTTCGCTGGGGAGTGAGCCCACAGATGGGGCATGTGCCCTTATTGGGAATCAAACTGGGGACATCTTGGTTCATGGGTCAATGCTCAACCTCTGAGCTACACTGGCCAGGCTACAAACAGTTTCTATTTACTAGCTCCTTGTAGACGTTAGAAGGG